GAATTTTAAACATTAAACAAGTAAACCTTAAAATAATAAATAAAAATATAAACAACTCCAAAATATGCGTGGCGCGAGATTTAGGGATCAGACTTTTGAAGACCCGACAGTTGGGGACGAATAGAATTTTAAAAAATTTTATAAATTGGCCAATTTAAGCAAAATTGCAAATTGTAGGAGAAAAAATAACGGTCACAACTTCGTTAATTGTGTTCGTTTTATGCTTATTTTATTTAAGGGATTAATGAATTAATGGGATTAAGAGGTATATCGAGAAATGAATCCTCCGATAGCCCGTGATATAGACCAAATCCCCTGATATCATGCTGCCCTTCAAATCCTTGTTATACTATATTAGAGTTTGACCCCGACCCCGCCCCGAATGATTTATTTCTGATTTATTCCCGACCCGAACCCCACCCCGAAAAAAGTGAAAACCCCGTCCCCCGACCCGAAAAAGTTTCGGAGTTTCGTTGTAATTTAAGGAGTTTCGTTGTATAACTCCTTAAAATGCCTTTTTTAAGAGGAATTTAAAGAGAAAAATTCAGAAAATTCCCTCCCAATTTTCTTTGTAATCATTATTTTTGAAGGAAAAGATACTGAAAATAAAGAAGTCTTTTGATACATAGAAGATACCGTATAAATTCATACGAATGGACTGAAGATGCTGGTTTTCCTCCCAGCCGCCGAATAAACTTTTGACTAGCCTATGGAGAGAAATAACTACCTATATCGAGCTGCTTTACTAGGTGAATGATAAGTTCTTGCCAAGCAATACTACCTCCCCATCGACATGCCTTTATATGTAACACGTGGAAAATTTTTAAATAAATTTTTTTAATTAAAGGAGGTTAGAGAAAAAAATTTTTAAATTATCGACCAAATTAAAGTATTAAAAAGAAAAATTAAAAAAAAATAAATAAAATTTATTTTTTTAAATAAATATTAAATTTTTTAACATTTAATGTGAAATTTTTTAACAAAACCTCTACTACTCAGTTGTTAATTGAGTATCCGGCTTAATGTTTGCCTGTAAATATATGTATTGCATTGTCTTTATTTATATTTAATTTTATATTATTTAAATTTCCGAAGGTCACCTCAAACTAATCTGGATTTTCCTCATTAAAAGGAAAAAGTTTTTCCTCCTAGCAGAGGTGGGTCGGAATTCCGATTTCCAACTTCCGATTTCCGACGTTTTTTTCCTTTTGATTTCCGAAAAAAAATTTTGATTTCCGAGTTCCGACTTTTGAGCCTTTTCCGATTTCCGACAGTTCCGAGTTCCGACACCTCTGACTGTTCCGACCCACCTCTGCCTCCTAGGAAAGACTTTATCTTCTCTTAAAAATAATGCCGCCAAAATTGGAAAGGGCTAAAGATAAAAGAAAAATTAAGAAATCATGTAAGGGCAGTCTATTTTAACAAACAAGTGACACTCGGGAAATTTTGAAATATAAAGAAATAAAAGACCCCGCTAAACATATGAGAAAGGGCGGCATATAAATAAGTGTAAGGCGGGATTAATCAAAAGAAAAAAAAATTGTGAAATCAAACTTATTGACAAATAAGGATAGATTTGCATTTATTATACTTAATTTACATTTTATTTATTTTTTAATTTTTATTTATTTATATAACTTAAATAATATTTTTTATAAAATAATTATAGAGCAGGGCCTCGTCTTAGAGCTGAAAAAATTATACACTAAAATGAGGCGTAAACAGTTGGGGGCTATTTCAATCCCCAGTTAACAATGGGGTGATTTTTCAATCTACAGTGTATTAAAAAAATTTTTTATAAACTACACCTAGTTTTTTAACGTTTTTCTATCATCTATCTTTCAGTTTCCAATTACCGTATATACTTTTTAATTACCCTCCCTCAAATAATTACCCTGCCTTTATTAGTTATCACTTCCAACGAAAGATTGAAACAATAATCACCCTCTTAAAATTAGTTATCCTAAAATAACCTCTATTATTTACCCCGCCTATCAATTACACTCTCCAGAGAGATGTCGAAACAATAATTACCCAGGGTAATTAATAGAGTATATACGGTAATCTTAAATTTTCTAGGCGATTCTAGACTTTTTATAGGGGCTTTTTTAATTTTGAACACTAATCCAAAAAAAAATCTTTAAAAAATATTTCACACGATCGGTGGTTTTATCGAGTTTTTTCTTAAAAATGGAGTTTAATAAATTATAACTCCACTTGAAAACATTAAACGAGTTGTAACCAACAAATGGAGGTATTTCAAAAGCAGCTCCTTCCATCTAAGGACCAACCAAATTTTATAAATCTGAGAGAGTTTGGGGGTCTAAAATCGAGTTCAGGCTGTATATTTTTTAATTATTTTTTAGAAAATGTATTTTAAATTAATTATTTACATATTCTTTTCTTCTTTGCTGGGGTTTCCATTATTTTCAATTTCTAAAGAATTTAAAGCTGATACAAAAGGAATTGACAATAGCACCTTTCTTCGGTATAAAAGAAGTTCTAATTACAGCACGTTGAGAGGATTTGAGGAAAAAGCTGATGAAGAATTCTCTCACTTCAAGGAAAAGGGTGAAAAAAGTTCTGGAAAAGGTTCTGATAATAATTATAAACGCCGTCCTGGAAAGGAAGAAATGGAAGAAAAAAATGTTAAAAATTCAAAAAAAGTTTTGTACATTTGCGAAGACGGTCTACTCTCGCCCTATTATTTCCACGTAATTATTTTAAGATGTTTATTATATTATTAAGAGTCAAATATTATTAAGAGCCTAATTTTGGGATTTTCACATTTTTCTTACAATATGCTCTATAAATAGGTTATTATTACGGCTCCACAAAATATGCAACAAAATCGCCATATATGCGCATACATATATGCACCGAAAAAGCCCAAAATATGCACAGAAATATGCATTAATATGCATTAAGAACCGGGTAAGTACTCGGACCTTGTAAAAACACCATATTTGTGCTTCCCTCGCAAGGCATACAGTATTTTCTCGATTAATTCCCCTCCCTCGAATAATTCCCCATGCTAGAGTTGGGTTTAAACAAAAATTCCCCACCCCCAAATACCCTACTGCACGTTCAAATGTCATAACTCGAATAATTCCCTTCCCTCGATGCAATGCCAAGGAAGGGCTGAAAATGCCAAGGAAGGGCTGAAAAAATAATTCCTCATGGGAATTAATCGAGAAATACGGTATCCGCACACAAAACATGCATTTGCATGTTGTGCGAAGCCCTAGTTATTATAGAGCATATTGCACTAATACATTTATGCCAGAGACACTCATGATTATTTATATTGAATCTTAACTCGATAAACTTTTCTTAGATAATTTTTCTTGATTTTTTATAATTAAATTACAGAAAAATTTGGCAAGAATATTGTCGGAAAAATATATAGTGGTATGTTGAAATTATTTATTTTTTAAATATGTGGAGAATTTACAGGATTTGCTTGTTTATAGTAAAGAAAGGGGGCACAAAATTTATTCAGAAAATTTACAAATTATTAATATACCTGTTACTAGTAAATTATTCAAACAAACTACACTTGTACATAGTGGTTTTCTTCAAGCTTATAATGAATATCATAATTCCGACATATTTTATTTTCTTGGAATTTATACAGGTAAGAAGTATATGTATGATTATCTTACTTATCTCGCTATTAGTCTTTTATAACAAGAGTTGCCCTCGCCCCGTTCCCGTACCCCGTATCCCGAACCCCGTTCCGGAAGATTTTAAAGATTTAACCCGATTCGAACCCCGACTCGGAACAATTCGAAACTCGGAAAAGTTTTAGGAAAGTTTCGGAGTTTTAGGGGAAAATGCCCCCATAAAATGCCAATTTTTCCTAATTTTTGAATGAACTAACGAAAATACGTAGTCCAAAGGCACATTATTTTTGGAACATTTTTACTAAAAATTCAACATTTAAACCCCGTTCCCCTGCTCCACCATATTTTGCTCACCGACCCCGCCCGAAACAATTCGAAAACCCCGTACACCGACACAACCGCCCAACCCTATTTATAACTGGGAATGTCGGAACTTTTGAAGATTTTATAATACTTGATTCTATGTAGGATTTAATTTTATAAATTTTTATTTAAAGAAATTTTAATGAATACAAAAATCGAAATTGGAGGTATTCATTTTGGTATTCTTAAATGGCTTAAAGAACAAAAATATTCTCTTGGAATTGCCGAGTTTGAGTCAATGGCAGGCTCTTTTGCTGTTTTTGAAGCTTTAGAAATTAAAAATACTTTTGATGTTTCTTCTAATATATATTACCCAATGTATCTTCAATTTCTTGATTTTGGAGGAAAGCCTCTTGATGTTACTAAAGTACCAGGTCAGAATAATGAGAATAAATGTCTTAGGAAGTATCAGATTTAGAAGCTCAATAATCTTTGTGGAATTATTTAAGTTTTGGTCTTGTATTGAGAACAAAGACCGTCTAATCATTCTATCGAACTACGTCAAAACGTTGTTCCGGCGAAATTTTAACTGTTCATAGTTTTGTCCATATTGATAATTGCAGTTGACTAACTCGTCTTCAACCTGAAATAATTTTCCATAGTTGATTACCTAGTGTTGCGCCGGAACCTTAAATTTGGCAGGAACTGGAACTAAATTTTGACCGGAACCGGAACTGGATCTAATTTTTTAGTCCCGGACCGGAACCAAAAAATCCCGGAACTTCCTGCCCAGCACTATTAGTACCATATCCATAGATAGAAATACCACATCCATCAAATTCTGAATATTAATTCAGAATACTTCAATTTTCATTAGGTGAAACAGCCGAGCCTGGTGATTGGAAAGAAGGGTCAACCGTTTTTCAAGAAAATAGTGACCTTTGTAATTTAAACATTGAAAACAATAAAAAATTGAATTATTGCAAAAAATTACATTTAAACGATATAAGTAAAATCTCCTACGACAATTTATATAATAAATTTACAATTTCTGGAAAACGACCTTCACTTATGGAAGTTTTGTACAAAAAAATTAAAATACATTTTGTTAATCAACACCCTCTTGGAATATTTAAAACATTTCCAGAACATGAAAAAATTGTTTATATTGGGGGTATTCATGTAGAGGAAAAGAAAATTTTGATGCAGAAAGTTAAGAAAGAAAATGACAAAAAGGTAATTCAAACAATGTTAAAAATTTATGTCTTACGGATCCAAGTCTCAATAAATTCTAGTCTCGAGGATTCCTAACCTTCTGGATTCCTAACCTTCCATATTTTTCGTTGACAAAAATCTCTTTTTAAAAGTCCTTTATGTTCGCGCTGTAGATGGTATAATTTTATATTAGATATACCGTATATCCTTTAATAACTACCCTGGGTAATTTTTGTTTCGACCTTCTGCTGGAGGGAGTAATTAATTGAGGGAGGGTAGTTATACGAGGTTTGAAATTTGAACGTGTTTTAGGGCATTTGTTTTGGGGTTTGTTTCAATCTATCACTGGATGGGGTAATTAATAGAAGTGGGGTAATCATTTGAGGGTGGGCAATTAATACAGGTTATATGGTACATATGGATTATATCCCAACAAAGATAACATTACATCCGATACACTTTTTTATCCTCTAAGCAATAGTAGGTGTTAGATAAGATCTGAGAAGAGTCGAATATCGAGTCCTTATATCCAAGGTCGCTGTCTTTGGAATTTTATAAATTATCATCGATATCTTTCCCCTCTAATTAGCTATACTAACTTGCTTGCAAGTGAGGACTAAATATCCTTAGCAATATTTTAAGCCTGAATGTGTTGTTCTAGTTTCGTTTGGAACTGTTAAACCCTCCGGAAAGTTGAATCCAGAAAATATTGAAGCAATGTTTGGCCTATTTCAACGAAATAAATCATGTGTATATATAGTCCGAATCAGACGTGGGCGAAACGTTTCGTTTCGTTTCGTTGTTTCGTATGTTTCGTATGATTTTTACTGTTTCGTCTCGTTTCGTTACGAAACACTTTTAAATTTGTTTCGTTTCGTTTCGTTACGAAACACCTGTGATTTTTCAACGAAACGAAACAATTTTTTAAGCCTAAACTAAGGCCAAAATCTATAAAATTTACCATCTTTTATTGAAAATTTAAAAAATTTTCGCCTGCGGCGCTGAAAAAAAAAGAATTTCGGCTTCTTGGCTTTCCCAAATTGTCAAAATTTTCGCCTGCGGCGCTGAAAAAGGAAGATAGCAATTACTTATATACTACAAATCCGTTTATACTCCACTCCCTAATCCACATATACATATTACTTAATCGACGACAAATTCTATTACCGGACTCGCATCATAATTTAAAAATTGCGGATTGCGAGTTGCGGAAATACTGGAACCGGAACTTCCGGCGAAGCACTAGCTTATATCGCCTTCCTCTCGAAATGGAGATATGGAGACAATTTGGGTAGGCAATGGAGCAAGATAGTGAATTTTTTGGCCTACGGCCTTTCAAAATTTTAAAATTTTTCGTCTGCGGCGCTTAAAATAAAATTTTACTTGAAAAATATTCAATTTTATTTAAAAAAAAGCGTCGCCAAAAATTTGGCTTCGAAAATGATTGACCCCCCCCCCCCCTTCCCCGAAAATTTTCCTTGCTACGGGCCTGGCTTATGGGACACAATTGTTGTAAATAAACCAATAACTAAATCATTTATAAGTCATAGTCGACTAATAACGTATTTGAGGTCGAATAATTTCGAAATAAATGCAGTTTTGAAAATTTTTTGAATATTAAAATGTTTCGTTTTGTTTCGTTTCGTTTCGTAAGATTTTGGTTGTTTCGTTTCGTTTCGTTAACGAAACGATTTTTAAAAAATTTTGTTTCGTTTCGTTTCGTCAGAAAAAAATTTTGAGTTTCGCCCAGGTCTGGTCCGAATGATTAAATATCTTTTACCAAAAAATTATAACAAAAAACAAATATATGTTACAGATAAAAATATTAACCAACAAAAGATATTATGTAAATAATTAGTTTTAAATAAATTATAATAAAGATTTTTTTAAGCTGAAAAGAATACAAAATTATTCATTTCCCATTGTGGACAGCACAGTTTGATTGAGGTATCTAAATTAAATTTTTGTTTGAAAATATTTTTTATATGACCTGATTGATAAGTATATAGTGATAGCACTATCAGCGTCAGTCTGATTTGATCATACTAGACCGGCTAGCTATTGATCCCTTTTTTTCTGACTCGCCCCCAATTCCGACCAGGGGTGAGCGCATTTCTAAACCCCTTGTTAACCCCTTGATCCCTCTAAATCCTCTAATATTCTTCATAATCCCTCTAAATCCTCTATATCTCTCCAAAATATTACCCATCCAACTTACATGTATCACAAAAAATTAGGACTCGCTGACTTATAGTAATATAACAATTTTTAACTGAAAAATGTCTAATACTTAATTTAAAAAATTTTTACTAATTTTGCATTCTTGCGTTATTTGCGTTAAATTTTGGCCTTGCGTTGCGTCTGCGTTCTTTGAAATTGTCTCTTGCGCTCGCCCCCAATTCCGACTTTGTCTTCATTGTTGCTCTCTAAGTTGGATAAATTGTTATTCTTGTGCCGGTCGACTTTGGCCAATCTCGGACATACACCAGACATAAAATAAATATTCTAAAGAGGTGATCAATGGATAACGTCGTATTTGATACCTCAATTTATTATTTATTATCAGCCTTAAATTCCCTCAATTTTGTTAAATAATTTAAAGGCAATGTATGCTGGTGTCCCTTTAATTTGTATTCCAAACTCGAATGATCAATTCTACAATTCTTCGATTGTCGAACATTTGGGTATTGGAATATATGTAAAAATGTTAGAGATTGAAGAAGGCAGAGATGACAATGACAAAAATTCAAAATTTGAATATGATTTTAAAGAAGCCTTCAATGACTTTTTTAGCCACGAGTAAGTTGGGAAAATTAAAAGACAGGAATAATTAAAAGGCAGGAATAGGTCTGTAGCAATTCCGAGTTCCGACGTTTATTTCCTTACGATTTCCGAAATATTTGAAGCAATGTTCGACTGAAGATTTTTCATGATTTTCTAAATTTCCGTCTGCGCCGATGAAAAACTAAAAGAAATTGGTTTTAAGGCCTTCCAATCGTCTCAGAATTTTAACTGTTTAAATTTTTATATTTTGATTCTTACATTAAAGGGAATATTGAAGTTTATTTAATTTGCAAATCTAATTATAAAATTAAGAAGGATCAGATGCGATATCGGTGTATTAGCATAAATTAAAGGGTATATTGAAGGATTTACGCCCACAGGGTCTGGGACCGTTCCTTATACTATCCGTCGAAATTTCTGAATAACCAATTTTTAAATGTTTCAACAAACGATTATAACTTAGAAATTTCGAGGGATAGTTATAAAATTATAAAATTAAATAAAAATTTTTTGGGCTAAGCATTTAATAAAAGATTTTATTATTTATTTAGCAAATATTCAAAAGCTGCAGATAATTTGAGAGAGAAAATAATTTCAAATTATTACAATGGTCGCAAATCTAAGGACGTTTTTCTTGATAAAATTTCGAAAATTATTGGTGACTGAGTGAATGAGTGAATTCAGAGAATTGGGAGTAAATTGATTTGGATTTTTTATTTTTTGGAACGAATTATGTTTTAAATTTATTATTTTTTGGGTTTCATTCATTTTAGTAGAACTTGTTTTAAATTTATGAAAAAACTTTTTGTAAAATATTTTTAAAATTTAATTTTTAAATTAAAATTTTTAATTCGATAAAGTGTTGGTGAAAGAAAAAATACCATTTCACTCCTATTATTTAATTTTTTTCTTTCTCCCATAATTTCTTAAGCACAAGATCGCTCAGGAGCAGGCCAGTATACCGCTGAGCTGTAACTTCATTCAAAATTGCGAATCCGAGACGCCCTGATAGTTGCCGATCCAGCTCGCTGAGGCGCATCGAACCATACCAAGGCCTCCCGGATTCGACAATTTTGAATGAAGTTATAGCTCGGCGGTTTACTGGGCTCGCGGTATAACGGGTGTACCCCGATTGCCGACAAAATTTTTATCACCCAATTCTCAATTTTAAGAGGTTTGCATCGCGAAGGATTTCAGCATCTGTTTATTTTTGATTCTTGATTCGTGTCGGGGTTTCTGCCAAGAAAAACGTCGAGGACGGGGTTTTGAGTATGCTTTTCTATCCTTTCCTGAACAATTTAAATTTAAAATTTAGAGAAATCCAAAACAATATACCATGTATTATTTTCTTTTTTGAAACTCTAGTATAAAATTTTTTTATCTTTGAAGTTTCTAAGACTTATTTTAGATAAGCTTCGTGGTTTCTATTAGAGTAGGTCGAGATCGAGGTTTTTAGACAAAACCGAGACCGAGGATCACCGAGGCTGGAAAAGCCGAGATCGAGGTCGAGGGGCAAGTTTTGGCCGAGGTCCGAGGTTCGAGGATAAACCAGATCTAAAAACCAGATTTCTCATATTTTTAGCGCCGTAGTGAACATTTTAGATGTCACCGAGCCATACTTTTTTTTTCTTTATCGACACAAATAAAATGTGAAACAATAAAATAAATACTCCTGGATCCACAAGGATCACTTATGGAGATAGTTAAATTATACAAAAAAAATTTTAAAAATAAATATGGTAATACAGTTAAAAAATATATAGTTAAAAATGGACTCCACAGAAAAAAATATATAAATAAATGCAATAAAATTATACACAACAAAACGAATGTCATCAAAAAATAGCTTAAATAAATTGCATTTTCTTTTAAGTGCATAAGTTGAAGATTCAAAACAACAAAAGTTGTGAATATTTTTTCTTAATTCTTTAAAAAATTTTAAAAAGTTCAAACCTTTGATCTTTTGGGTCTAGAAAACTCGATGATGGGCAAATAAAGCAAAGCGGCATTTGCTTTTACTATGAAATAACGCCATGTACTTAAATGGAATAAGAGGAGGAAAAGTCGCACTTTAGTTTATCCTTTCCCTTAAATGTTATTTTCTGCCGCATGACGCAAAGCGGCATTTAATTAAGCTAAAAGAATAAGCAAAGGAATAATCGAATTTATATTGAGTAAGCGGCACTAAGAAAAGTGAAGTGCAAAATACAAAATTAAGAAATCGTCTATTAATCTTGTTAAATTTTTTGATAGCCAAAAAATTGTTTTATAAACATCCTCTTAAGGATAAAAAATAAAAAAATAATTTTTAAATAATGTAAAGCATATAGCTATTTAATTCCTTAAGCTGTACATTAGACGGTGTTGTACTGGATAACACAGCATTCCGGTCTACGAAGATGCTAGTTGCACCAAAGGTGGGTCGGAACAGTCAGAGGTTCGGAAATCGGAAAAGCCGGAAATCGGAACTGGCTGAAAAGTCGGAACTCGGAACTTGGAAATAAAAATTTTTTCGGGAATCAGAATTCCGTCCCACCTCTGGTTCGCTCCCAGCCACCGAATGACCCTTTGCACTAGCTAAAGGAGAGAAATAGCTATAGCCCAGCTGCTTTACTATAATTTTTCTAATCAAAAATTTTAAAATTTTTATATCATTGCAGCATTCCTTCCAAATTAAAAAAAATTATTTTAGAAAATGTTTAAATTAATTTATTTAATTTTATTTTTATTAATTTTTACAAAAATTTTATTTGGGGCAAGACGCTCTTTTGAAAGAGGAGAAATTTCATCAATGACTGAAAATTCAAGGAAAAAAGTTTTATATATTTGCGATAATTTTTATTATTCGCATATACAATTACATGTAAATTACCTAATATTTTTAAATTTATTTTAAATATTTTTTAAAAATTTAGAAATTGTTAGCTGAAAAATTATCTACAATATATGAAGTGGTAAGTGGGGATTGTTGGTTTATGGAAAATTATTGAATATCCGAGGTTGAACCGAAAACACCTCAGATCTTCGGCCCGCGTAGAACCAACAATCCTGGTGCCTTATGGAGTTTATCACTACGGTAAAACTCGTTAGGAAAAACGGAATTTTGCCCTACTCTCCCAGCAAACCATGTGATAAATTTGCTTTCACTCTCATGGGTTACTAATAGTGTTTGACCTTTTCAAATTGGTTTCTTGGCTATGTTCCAGTAAAAACGGTTACGGGCGCAGATCCTACCTATGATTACTACTTATAATTAGTGCTTCGAAATTTCAATTTTGCTCGTACTCGTACTTCGTACCACCTCTTTTTTTGGCCTCGTAATCGTACCACCCCCATTTTTTGCTCGTACTCGTACTTCGTACCAGGTACGAGTACGAATTTTGGTACGAGCTTCGAAGCACTGCTTATAATATTATAAACCATCCGCTTATCTTTATTCCTAAATTCAGGATATGCTCGTTTACTTTAAAGAAGGAAATCGACTAATAGAGTCAGATAAATTCCGAACAATTAATATTCCTATAGATAAAAAACAATTAAAGCGAAATTCAAATTTAAAGAAAGCATCATACATTCATATTGGAATTTATAAAAGTGGGTGCTCTTTCGCAAGTGGATAGTGATTATTTAGAGATCTGATTACAGTTTTAGTAGACCGGAAATTACAGGGTTTTTTGGTTGCTTCAGTTACAGCCCAATTTTTATTCAAGTGCAACAGAATTATACATAGATAGAGATTTGAGCGAGACGAGATCTCGTAAATTATCGAGAATCTCGATCTCGTACCCACACCCAAGTCCGGTTTCTAGTTACCAGGGCTGTGCGCCAAAATTTTCGCGTGGCGCGCCAAACGCCAAACGCCAATTTTTCAAATTTTAAAAACACGCCAAACGCAAAACGCCAAAAATCGGCCAAAATTAACGCCAAAACGCCAAACGCCAGACGCCAAACGCCAAAATTTTTAGAGTCTATAAAAACTCAAAAACCTCTTTTCATCTCATTTTAGCGCCGCAGGTGAAATTTTTTTCATTTTCAAGATTCCTAGAAGCTAGAATTCATCCTTTTTTGCCGCCGGATGCGAAATTTTGAAGAGTTTTTGAAAATTTTTTGAATTAAGTAAGACCAGGAAGCAGGCCCTAGCCAATGGGGGAGAATTCCTATCTCCCGAAATGAGGAAAAGGAAAAAATTTGGGTAGAACCCCGTGAGATTAAGGTGGATATGAAGGCATGAAGTGGGTAATAAGAATAACATAGGTTTTGAAGAGAGTAAATGGTTGATGATGAAGTATTAGTTTTAGATAAGATCATGATGGAAGTATTAGATTTAGATAAGAGCTCCCTACTTTAAGCGCCGCAGGCGAAAATTTTGAAAATTTTGGAAGTCCAAGCAGTAGATTTCTTCATTTTTATGCGCGGCAGGCGAAAATTTTGAGAATTTTGGAAGACTGTAAGCAGAAAAATTTCCTTTCTCGATTTCCGTTCTACCAATTATTTTAAAAAATTCCCATCAATAGGGGTGTATATTTCTGGCGTTTGGCGCGCCAAAATCGGAAAATCACGCCAAACGCAAAACGCCAAAAATCGGCCAAAATTAACGCCAAAACGCAAAACGCCAGACGCCAAACGCCATGACGCACAGCCCTGCTAGTTACCTGTACATAAACATTACTTTTTAAATTAATAACTCGTTCTGGATTTTATAATTTACCTTATTTTCTCTATTAGAATACCATGGCATTCTACATATTTTTCATCCATCTTCCAAAGTGGCATTCTACTAGAGACTGGCATTCCACTGGGGAGTGACATTCTAATTACAGTACTTTAAACAATCAAATAATAATTAAAAATATTTTAATAATTAAATTTTTCAATAAAGCTCTGATTGAAAACAAACACCTAATTGAGAATATGAGAATACGTTATTGGTTACATTCGCGGGGATATGACGTTGGAATTGCTGGATTTTTTGGAATGTTTGGAGCATTTGCTGTTTTTGAAAGTTTGGGAATTCAAAATACAATTAATGTTTCGGCTATTACATTCCAAACAGAATTTATACATTTTCTTGACTTTGATCTTAAAGATCTGAAGATTCCTGGTTATTTTTTAATTTAAATTTTTCTCTGTAACCCGGGGAATTTTCGGTTATGTTCATTGTTCGGCTAACCAAAAATCTTGTAGAAATCAACAACCTTATTCAAGCTACAATGACTCTTCATGATTCTATTGCAGGGTGGCCTTTTTACCCTATTTATATCAATTTTTAAAATTTTAAGATGTCGACAGTCATCTTGACGTGTTCGTGGTCGACGACCGTGGTCGTGGTCGAAGACAGTCATCTTGACGTGGTCGTAGTCAACGACAGTCATCTTGACGTGGTCGTGGTCGGCGGCAGTCATCTTGACGTGGTCGTGGTCGACGACAGTCATCTTGACGTGGTTGTGGTCGTCGACAGTCATCTTGACGTGGTCGTGGTCGACGACCGTGGTCGTGGTCGAAGACAGTCATCTTGACGTGGTTGTGGTCGTCGACAGTCATCTTGACGTGGTCGTGGTCGACGACCGTGGTCGTGGTCGACGACGGTCATCTTGACGTGGTTGTGGTAGACGACGGTCATCTTGACATGGTTGTGGTCGACGACGGTCATCTTGACGTGGTTGTGGTCGACGACGGTCATCTTGACGTGGTTGTGGTCGACGACGGTCATCTTGACGTGGTCGTGGTCGACGACAGTCATCTTGACGTGGTTGTGGTCGACGACGGTCATCTTGACGTGGTTGTGGTCGACGACGGTCATCTTGACGTGGTTGTGGTCGACGACGGTCATCTTGACGTGGTTGTGGTCGACGACGGTCATCTTGACGTGGTTGTGGTCGACGACGGTCATCTTGACGTGGTTGTGGTCGACGACGGTCATCTTGACGTGGTTGTGGTCGACGACGGTCATCTTGACGTGGTTGTGGTCGACGACGGTCATCTTGACGTGGTTGTGGTCGACGACGTTCATCTTGACGTGGTTGTGGTCGACGACGGTCATCTTGACGTGGTTGTGGTCGACGACGGTCATCTTGACGTGGTTGTGGTCGACGACGGTCATCTTGACGTGGTTGTGGTCGACGACGGTCATCTTGACGTGGTTGTGGTCGACGACGGTCATCTTGACGTGGTTGTGGTCGACGACGGTCATCTTGACGTGGTTGTGGTCGTCGACAGTCATCTTGACGTGGTTGTGGTCGTCGACAGTCATCTTGACGTGGTTGTGGTCGTCGACAGTCATCTTGACGTGGTTGTGGTCGTCAACAGTCATCTTGACGTGGTCGTGGTCGACGACCGTGGTCGTGGTCGAAGACAGTCATCTTGACGTGGTTGTGGTCGTCGACAGTCATCTTGACGTGGTCGTGGTCGACGACAGTCATCTTGACGTGGTCGTGGTCGACGACGGTCATCTTGACGTGGTCGTGGTCGACGACCGTGGTCGAAGACAGTCATCTTGACGTGGTTGTGGTCGTCGACAGTCATCTTGACGTGGTCGTGGTCGACGACCGTGGTCGTGGTCGAAGACAGTCATCTTGACGTGGTTGTGGTCGTCGACAGTCATCTTGACGTGGTCGTGGTCGGCGGCAGTCATCTTGACGTGGGTGTGGTCGACGACAGTCATCTTGACGTAAACCTTGAAACTCCTACCTAAGAGTTCCAAATGCTGCCGAATAAATCATTTTTGCTTAACAATTAAATTCCATTCTAATTTTATCGACATAGAAAAAAAAGTCTGATCATTTCTTTTAAGATTACTTTAGTGCCCGGCCAGGAGTATGGACAATTGGGAATTCTATCAGTGAAGAAGGAAGTGAAAGATATTTTCAAAATAAAAGAATTCAAGAAAAACGAATTGAAAAAATGGAAAAACTTTGTAAAGATTACAATTTTTATAATAAAATATACATTTTTGAAGAATATAATAGACCTCCACCTTTGCCTGAATTATTTAAAAATATTAAAATTCATTTTTTAAATCAAAATATTAATGGGAAATTTAGTGAATATCCTCAATTTGATAATTTTATTTTTATTGGAGGCATTCATGTTGAAGAAAGGGGGATTTTGACACAAGACAAATTGGAGATAAATGATGGGGTAAAATTTAATTTATCTTGGAATTCACGATGCTGAAAGATATTCTCCCTAATATACTCTTAATAAATAATTTAGTTTGGATTTTGGACGCAAAAAGTTTCCTTTTATGCAAAGTGTAATAAAGAAGTTGTGACGAGTAATTGATCAAATACCCCTAGGCTCTGCTTCATGATAATACGATCACTTGTTTTTGAGTTTCCAACACAGATTTTTTTCAACACATTTTTCAGCATTTCCAACACATCCACTACTAAGATTTCAGCAAACGTCTATATTAATATTGTGTAAAAATAAAAAATATCTAGGCTCATATCTTCACCCAAAGTCGAGATCCTACTCCACATTCTGAACCAGCATTCCAAAATTAAATTACTATTCATTTCTGGTTTGAGAAAATTTTTGAGTTAACCTAACAGTCTAGTAACACTGAGCAAAATTAAATTCAAGACAGTCTTCGAAAATTAAAAAAATTTGTTTAAAGTATGATTGTGCTGTCTATGTCGCATTTGGAACAGTCAAAATAGATGGAGGAATGAGTCGAAATAAACTTCGAAAAATGCTAGATATTTTCGCAACTTTTGAGAATTGTTTATTTAAAATAAGATTGGAGGGTCATTATTTAACGAAAAATTATCGGGCAGAAAATATAAATTTTTTAGAAGGGTTTGTTGATCAACAAGAAATATTGGGTATAAAATACATGTTATTTAGCATAATTAATTTTTATTTATTTACACAGCTAAACAAAATACAAAATTGTTTATTTCCCATTGTGGACAGAATAGTTTAACTGAGGTATTAAAAATTAAAAAAAGGGGTTCTTTTGAAAATTTATTTTGCGAAATTTGCAATTTTCTGATTTAAAAAGAGCTGCAAATAAGTGTTGATTCGCCTAGCAAACACTAAACCTAGCAAACACCTATCTAGCAAACACCTATCGGTTGAGCGAATAATTTGCTGAACCGACAATCTTGTTACTTGCAATGATTAAATGGGCTAACCAAAGCTAAGGAATCTGAAAATAGACCAGGCGATTTTAGATGAGAATATTAAATCCGAATATCCAGGGATTTTCCAGGATCCGCTAACTTTGAATATGAATTGCGGACGCCAGAATTTTTTTTAAGTTCAATTAAGATTTTTATAACGGCCGAAGGATTTTTTCAGTTTCCTCTTAAGGCGCTCTTCTATGAATATCTGTTATGATATCTAATACATATACATAATTAGGGTTGGGGTTTTCGAGTCGGGCCGTCGTTCGAGTCATTTTTATCGGGCCGGCCCGACCGAGTCTTTTTTGGGCTTCATTTATCGACCGAGTATTTTTCGGGCCAAAATTCGATGCCCGACTCGATCTTTCGGACCAGACCGGGCCCCCAACCCTATCTATAATATCTGAATGAATTTCTGTTAGAGCTTTTGTGGTACTTTATAAACATATTTTTAAGGCAATGTATGCAGGTGTTCCTTTAATTTGTATGCCAAATTTTGGTGATCAATCTTATAATGCTTCTCTCGTTGAACATTTGGGTATCGGAATATTCTATTTCGACGAGAAAGAAACTTTCTTTGAGAAATTTAAAAAGATGTTCACGAGAACTAAGAGAGATGAGGAAAACAGTGTTTTTAAGGACGCTCTCGATGCCATTTTAGGGTAAATTTAAAGGAATTTAAAACTTAAAAATATAAAAAAACATGGACGCTGTTCTAGAAGAGAAGATCTACCATATCTCGCAATCCATAATCTCTTCCGCTCTAATCTCGATTCCATTGCATTTTAGTTATCGCGAGTTATTGGCATAGAAGTTTATTCCATCTAGTAAATAATTACTCAACTACGGTAATGTGGCTCGTAAATTAATTAAATCTAGAATTTGGATTAGGCAACCCCCAAATTATATTTAAAATAATTAATATACGGGTTCATGCTGTGGAAAAATTTCATTGGATGGGAGATGGAATTGAACAATCATGGAAAGGGCCCAGACCGAAGCACAATCGACTGTGTTCTAGTAGTGAAAATCTCCAGGTTCCATTCACAAACGACTCCGGTTACAGTATTTTCTTGAATAATTACACTGGGTAATTTTATTCGACCTCTCTTCCGCTGAAGAGTGGTCTTGCTGGAGATCATCCAACCCGATGATGGGTTATTTATTTTCATTTATGTTCTTTCTGCAAATACGGACTTTTCTTAACAAAATTGTCAGAACAATAAAATTTCAAATTAAATAAATAATTTAGCAATATTCATTCAAATAATTATCAAATTGCTGCTACAACTCTGAGAAATTTAATTCTCAGCGATTTTGATGGAGGAAACACTGCAGAAGTGAAATTTCTGAATAAAATTGCTGAAATTGTTGGAAATTGATTAAGAACTTGATTAAATTTATTTTGAAACTTTATGTTAAAAAGTAGTTTTAGATTAAAAAAATTTTTTTTAATTTTTTTGTTTGTTTTTGAGCAGGTAGAACTCTCAAAATCTTTTCTAATTTTGAAATTCCAAACTTTAAAAAGTTTTTTAAAATTTTTAATTGTTTGATTTTGTGTGATATTATGAAAAGAGGGTTGCGGGTTAGTTCACCTGCAGCTGCGGGTAATCATCGACTTCTGGGTCGATTTTTTTTATAATACGGGTTAACCCTTAGATCGGGGTTCTATTACCCGAGTAAGAGAACCTTGTAAATTTACCATGTTCTTCTACTACGTTTTTTTATAATACCGCTACAGAAAACACACCTCAACCGTTGGTTATCCCCTTGTCTGACAGCACCCGGGCTGGCCAATTTAATTTGAGTAAATAGGGTAATTGGCAAAACTCATTCTTCCTAAACTCGGTATTAGCAAAATACTGTTTAAGTAAGATTATGAAGGTTATTTCAACTATGGGGAAGAAAACCATTTTGTAACAACAAAGTTTTTGCTTTGGATTGTATCTTGGACGGCATATTTTGTCATACCGTTGCCCAGCCACAAAATACTTTTTTAGTAAAAAAAATTTTTTTTTATTTTTCTGTCAATATATAAATAATTTTTTAAAAAGAAAAAATTTTTTAATCGACTTTCTCCCCTCACTTTTTAAAAAATTGCTTCTAAATTTGCGGATTATCCGCATTGATAAATTTCAAAAAATTAATTACATAAAACACCTCTCTTAGATTTAATAATACATAGAATTTAATTTATAAATTTACTTCATAAAACAACAAAAAATTGGAGAAATTAATAAAAAAATTTAAATTCTATTTAAATTAAAATTTTTATTTTTCCGCAATTTCAAAATTTTGCGCAGAAAAAAAAATCAGAATTTTATTTAAAAATATTCAACGTGTCAGATATTAAGAAATTTTGATGTGTGGGTATTGCCTGGTAATATCTCCACATTCATTTTATTGAGGTATTATTATACATATTGCCATTGCCAATTTACTCTTAAAAAAAATATTTTACGGCCTTAATATTATCAAAAAATGAAATATAGTAGTAAAGCGAATGCCGCATTGTGGTCTGCTAAACTTAATTTTACAAATTTTACAAATTCTATCGGTAATTATAGCTGAGGTGAAAATATTCTCATAAAGTGGGATTTAGGAATACGAATTTGGATTTATTGTTATGTATGTGATCGGTAGGGCTAGGATTTTAGCCAAAATGCCTGTCCTAATCCTAGTAATCAGTCTTCGACTCTCGTTGATAATTCCTTCAAATTTTTATTTTCCGGAAATTTATTTTTCAAAATTAATTTTTTCATTTTCCTCTTGTTAATTTTTATCATCATTTCTGTTGGAAAAATAAAGAAAAAAAGAATTTATTAAGGTACCGTTAATGATGAAATATTGCCCCTCTCTCAAATAATTACCCTCTGCCTATTAATTACCCCCTACTAGTTGTTTTGTCAAGTTGCCTGCTAAATTTAATTTTAAAAATTTTTATTTAAATTTTTATATCAATCTATCGATAATTTTAAAAAGAAGAATCCCCCGCATCTCCTCATTTAAAAAATATTATTGCCATTTTATTACCATTTTATGTCTTTTGCCAAAATTTATAGCTAGGGTGTTTCAAAACATGCAAATGCATATTTTGTATGCGGATATGCCATGAGCTGAAACGCTCAAAAATGGTGTTTTTACATCGGTACGAACACTAGGGACCGGGTTCTTAATGTATATTTTTGCATATTTCGGTACTTCCGTGCATATTTGCATATCGATGCATATTTTGGGAAATTTTGCATAATTTTACCAAAATTCGTCCATATTTTAGCATTTTTTGAGAAATTTTATTAAAAATCGGGCAAAATTTTCCAAATTTTTGAATTTTTTAGGCAAAAAATTTTTTAATAAAAATTTGTTGAAAAAATTTTTTTGAAAAAATTGTCGCGATAAATTTTTTCAAAAATATTTTTTTGGTTGAAGTTTAGGTTTATAAAATCTCTAAAAGTGCTCTTAAACACCAATTTAAATGTTAATTTAGTATTTTTTACTTGAAATAATAATTTTTAAAGCACATTTTCATTATTTTTGCTGCATATCTAGTGCATATTTTGGGAAATTTTGCTTATTTTAGTGCATATTTAGGGCTTTTTCGGTACATATACATGCGCATATTTTTGGATTTTTCGTGCATATTTTGAAACACCCTATTTATAGCTAATTATTTACAATATTTTTATAGCTAATTAAATAAATAAAATTTGTTAAATAATTTATCTAAAAAATATATTTTTTTATTTAGAAAATGTATTATTTGAAATTAATTTTTTTCATTTTCTTTTTGTTAAATTTTTAACAATATTTCTGATGGAAAACCCAAACAAAAAACTAATTTATTATCCCACCGTCGGTGCAAAAGGGGTAATAATTTTGGTCGTTGTTTTGGAGGTGGAAGTAGAGGAAGGTCTGATCAACCTTTTAAACAACGTGAAGGAAAGGTTCCGGATCCAGTCAAAATTTCAGTTCGGTTCCGGTCAAATTTGCCTGAACCAGTTAGTTCAATTCCTGAAGTTAAGTTTAAACGTGGGGCTTCTTTGTTGACTAGAAATGGTTACGAATACGCACAATGCATGTCAAGATAAGTTGCAGAAGTTGAAAATCGAGCTGTCGATCCTGTTCGTTATCTACGAACAAATTCTTATCATTTAGCGAAAATTAGAATTTTTCTGAAAATTTCACTATTTTACTTACCGTAAACAACTGAAACAATTTAAATTTGGTGCCATTTATCTTTATCGACGAACTAGTCATTGACGAAAGTC